CGTCCGGCGACTCGTATCAAATTAACACTTAGTTATTTACAGGCTATAACAATATCTGATTTATGATGCTTTGTATGATAAGTATGTTGAGATGTTAGGTCAAATTAAAAAGCTTGCTAAAAAGTATAAAGTTGTTGCAAAATTTAATTCAAAATAAAGGAACAATAATAAAGTATTGACTGGTAAATTTAAAAATTCTTCTTTAGAGTTAAATACATCTAATAGTGTAAGTGAAAATATCTCATTTGAGTGTATATAATATTCCATGTATAGAGATATAAATTTTAATTCATCTAAGCAACTAACTGAAAAATCAAGTCAAATAAAAAAATTAGTTGCTAGGATAAATAAGCTTTTATGTGGGTTATGTTCTAAACCAAGAATGTTTAAATTTAGATACATTGCCATAATTTCTAAAGATGAACAATTTAAGTCCAAAACTGTTTATTTGAAAAAGGCCGTGAAATTTTTTTTCATTAGGCTCTAAAGATTTAAATATGATCCTTTCCAATCAAAAATTTACAAAGCCTAAAACTAAACTTAGTTATTAATATTTAGAAAAATATAATAAGTTTTAACACTTTTTTGTAAAAGAAAATAGTTTAACTCTATTTGCACCCATTTCTAGTGCTTCTTCTACTATTTTCATTTCATGTAGTATAATAGGTCATATTTGAAAGAATTATCGTATGCAATATAGAGTTAAAGTAGTTAAGTGGTTTGGGTACCTGAAGGCACAATTACTATCTAACATGGACTTATGTGGATATCTAGGTCACACATTTCTGCTTTTTTATAGGTATGCAGGAAGGGTAAGGAGAAAGGCAATATCTGTTTTAGTTTCTCAAGGCATATTCAGGATATATGAATTTGTTATTTAGTTTAAACAAGAAGAAAAAAGGGATGAGAAGTTATTGGTACATGCAAAGAGGATCTTATCGTACAAGTAAGGTTTTATTGCAAATGTGTAACTTGCATAAACATTTGTTTCAGCAAATCTTCTTAAAGGGATAAGTAAATGTATATTCTATAACCCTTTCATGTTATATGTACATATTTTGGATTTCTGATTATTTGTTTTTCTTTCATTTTCTCTTTTTAGGGTTGTTTTTAGTTTTTTTTTTTCATTTTTTATCAAAAACAAAATTAAAAAATCTTTTTCTTTCTTTTTACTTTCTTTAAAAAACTTTGGACTTGCCTATGTATATGCTTTTAAAAAATTAATTTAGATGATATTATCTTTCTGGTATGTAGGCTTGATTATATCACACATGTTCACATATGATTTTTCAATCTATATGTATGTATTTCTAGACATAATAATGAAATGATGATTAAATGACATGTTATTTACATGATATATTTTATGCAGTAATTTAGCACACCTATTTCTATAATTAACATGTTATATTTGGGTAAAAGATATTTTTGGTTATATCATGTGTTTTTTAGCTCATTCTTGACTTGACTAATGCACAAATCTTTATTGTTATATGTACAAAAAGTGCATTTATCTAAAATAGCAATCAAACAATAAGAGTGTATTCATTAAAAAATGATCAAACATTCACACCCTTGTGAAATTCATAGAAAATTGAATGTATTTGTTAAAAGAGGGTCAAAGATCCAGACTCATAGGTTTGTGTTTGTGCAAATCTCAAAGGGTAGCCATCTTGTTCTGAATATATTTTATATTTAGAGATAGTGTGAATCACCCACCAAACAATATCGTTCTTTCTCTTACATCCTATATGGTTGAGGTGATAGGGCGACACTTTGGGCATGATAAGAAAAAGTGAGGGATTCAAATAGAAGTTATGACCAATATCTAGTAGCTATAGCTTTTATGTTAAAATTAGTTTCTAACATCTATTTAAATCCTATCAACTCTAGATTGAGCATAATTTCTCCCTAACAAATGGTATCAGAGCTAAGGACATGGTTCATGTGATTTAAAAGAAAAAAGAAGAATATGTAGTACAATATAAAGTCCAAAGGTGTTGGGAGGACCCGTGGATGCCTACAGGAATAATACAGTTTGGTTAACCATCACTAGTTAAGTGGTGGAAGATCCTACAAATGTTTCATAGCCATGTGCTGGATGCATAGTCTCGTTAGCCCACTAACAAAGTTGTGTAAGCGTTAGTCAATTGGTTTAGCCCACAAGTGAAGCGATAGAAAAGTTAGTGAATTACATCTGGTTAGTCCATTAATAAAGTGGTGCAAGAGTTAGTGAATTGTTTTAGCCCATGAGTGAAGTGGTTGAAAAGTTAGTGAATCTCGTGAAAGATTGAATTGTAGTTAAAAATTAAACTATAATCACAAACTAAGGGGGATTTGGTGAGGTTATTAATATGTGAGTATAGTCTCACATTGGGTATGATAAGGAAAGTGATAGATTCAAATACGAATTAGGGCCAATACCTAGTAGCTTTAGCTGTGGGGTTAAAATTAGTTCCTAACATCTATTAAAAGCCTATCAACTCTAGATTGAGCCCGATTTATCACCAACAGCATGAATGTAGGGGGAGCATTGCATATCATTTTTTTCATAAGAGTGTTTTTGTGCTTGTTATTATTGTTTATAATACATGTGTTTCGGTAATTTAAAATCCAAGTCTGTTATTTTAAAATGGAGAGATTGTTAGGATGTAGTCCATAATAACTCTTGTTTGAGTAATAACAAACTCTTATTTGGTACTAATAATTATTTGAGATGATATAGTATAAGTGGATACACGCATAAGAAGTATATAAAGCGAAACGATGTGAAAAGCAGCTCAAAAGCTGATTTCAGCATCCTCACCATCGATAGTCCACCGTGACTCATCGATGACTACAATGACTTATCGATGGTATAGTTATAAATTAATATTTTCCCCAAGAGAGATTTTCATATCATCGATGGGACCTCTCAAGCATTGTCACCATCGATGATTGAGAGCCACAGTTGATGGTAAAATTGACTGATTGTAAAATTTTAGATGTAATCACAACTTTTCGTTATTTTTTTAATATCCAACCTCTTTCTAGGATATCTCTTTCCTGGCCTTTTGGGGACTTTATATTATTGAAAGAGAGAGAAGAGGAGACATCTGACTCTTAAATTGAGAAGAGATTTTATTGAAGGTTTTGACCCCCGGAGCCTCGACAAATTCTCACTCGTCGCACTCAAAATCTTCTGATCGTTTAAGTGAGAAGAGTTTGTAAGAGTTAGGGTGCGATCACTCTTCACACACAACATCTACTGATTATTTTAGTGAGGAGAGTTTGTAGGAGTTAAGGTGCAAATATATTTAAATCATGGGGATCACACAATAAACCTAGCAGGTTTAATAAGGTAATTTACATATTCTAGGGGTGCAACTGGACACCTAGGCATGTGTACGAATTCGTCTCTGCTCTCTCCTAAATTTTGAATTTTTTCTCTCATAAATTTTTAATTATTTGCAAATTGCATGTTGGAGGGTGGGGGGGGGGGGTGTTGCTGTTTTGTTGTGAGCACCCCCAAATTTAGGAAGGGTTTAGTGAAACAAACGAAGTTCAGGAAGGCTATGTGCAACAGTCCCAGAGTTCAAAGGGGTATTGTGAAATTAACCCAACTATTTACTCCTAGTAACGGTTGGGTGTTACCGGGGCCGCATGTTTTCTCCGTGTAGGCGCCGTCACGAGCTCCACCGAATGAGGGAAGAAGATGCAATTCCCCCATGTGAGCTGTCTGGTCCCACTTAATACGACTAGAAGAATCCGCAAACCCCAATTCATCAAAAACCGAACCAAAGTGCAGCTCCATCATGTGTGGGCCCCCACTCTCAACCCCCACCATCTTTTCACGCGGCATCCGGTTTTGGGTTCCTATTTAAAATTTTGGGTTATTTCCATGTTAGTCCATCACATTCTTTCATATTTTCGATTAGTACTTAAATTAGCGAAATTGATTTTAGATCCCAAAATCATACAAATTGCTCAAAACTAGTCCCCTTAGCCAGGAACAGAACTATCTCAAAACTATCGGCATGCAAGTAGGCCGTTCTGCTCCACACAAATAGGAGGTGTAATTTCGAAAGTGCCCCTTACTAATCCCATGCATGGAATGGATCTACTCGCACACATGCTTGTGCTCTAAAGGAATCTAAATTTCAAGACAACCATTGTTGACTGATGAGGGTTCTCCTTTAACTTTTAACTTTTAACTTTTTAAAATTAGCATTTCCATTTCAAAATCCATTCAATCTGTAAACCATGGTTGGTTTAGTGTAAAGTTTAGCCGTGAGTATGTAATAACCAAACTATCCTCACTAAATAACTAACCTCCCAGAACTCCATTAGTGGAGGAACTTGAAGCTGAAACCATAGTTAGAGAGCTTAAAATGTGTTAGGTTAAAGAATCTACATTTTGAGATGACCTCATGTACTAGAATCACGGGGCTCTTAAGATTGCATGAGACTGTTAGAACAATGGAGGTGGGGAAGAAGAGAATCACGAGAGAATGAATGTGTTCAAACGGGTTTGAGTTTTTATACAAATGAGCTGGGAGTGTAAATGAGCATAAGTTAAAGAGGAGCATCATATTTTGTCTCAGTATTAAAGAGGGTATAATTTGTATGTTAAAGTTAAAGAATTATTCCCCTCAATTAAGGCACGTGCTTGGTACATTTACGTGGGTAGTTCCGATCAACAGATATCATTTGGAGACCTAATAATAATTTCAATAAATTGAGGTACTATGCTCGTAATAAGAAATATGTGATGGGCTAATACAGAAATGACCCTTGTCCGATATATTCGGACTCCCTAGGTTCCTTGCACCCGGTCAATCATACCTCTTCATGGATACGACAGAAAAAAACATCGTCCAACTGTCCTCTATAACACCACGGCACACGATACGCAGAGAGTCTCCTGAGGCACATCATAACGGAGCGCGTCCGATCATTTTCTTTCCCTGCTGTACCGCGCCAGAAGTGTATAAATTCGTGTACGCGCAGGCGATCCCTTTCATCATTTCCTTTTGTGCCCCCTCCCCCACTCCTCGCCCTTAAACTCGAACCCCATTCCTCCCGTCATCTTAAGGGGGGGAAAAAGGAGGGAAGTTAGAAAAGCGGAGAAAATATAAGATAAGAGATCTAAATAAAGAGAGAGAGAGAGAGAGAGAGAAAGCAGAGGAACCAAGAAATATGCAGGCGAAGGCAGCGGCGCTTGCTCTCTTGTGCTGTTTATCTCTCACAGTCGCTGACGATCCGTACAGGTTCTTCGACTGGGTCGTCACCTTCGGAGACATTTATCCCCTCGGCGTTAAGCAGCAGGTAGTTACCGACTCTAAAATCCTCTCCGTTTATTTCCTTGCGGGATTCATTAAATAACGGGGTCGTTCTTGAAATTTGTTTTATTTACAGGGGATTTTGATCAATGGGCAGTTTCCAGGCCCGGACATTTTCTCGGTCACTAATGACAACCTCATCATCAACGTTCACAACAATTTGACGGAGCCCTTCCTCCTCTCATGGTAAGCGTTCTGTGCTTATGAACCAGAGTCAGTTACGTATGGTTTTGATATTATGATAACTGCATTAATATTGTAGAGATCTCTTCGAGCCCTTTATCTTGTAAACCTTTTGGGGGTAATCCCAACTGAATCCAAGGAGTCGCTTCTTTACGAAGATTTGCTTAGAAATTTGTTAGAACGCGCAGCAGGGCTTGTGCTTGGTAAATTCTTAGTTAAGAAATGAAATAATTAAAGGCGCCGCTAATTTCTCATTAGATATTAAGTACACGTATGCATGTCAGGAAGTGGATCCAATGACTACAACTGATCGACCAATAGAATTCGCTCTTTTTAAAAGTAAAGTTTTCACATGAAATGGCTGGCTATGCTTCCGAAGATAGATGGTTGCTTTTCGCTGACGACGACATAAAACCTCCTCTCCCATACACACGGCATCACGTCAGTGTTAACGCACATGCGACCGACCATTTACACACATGGAATTATTAATCAATAGTGTCATCTTTTTTTTTTTCAACTAGAGATCCAGTAAATGAGTAAAAGAAGAGTTGCTCTTTTTTCCAACTTTGACAAAGATGATGAAGCATTATACGTTTTAAATTTGGATTTTCTCTCCGGGAAAAAAAAAAATTTAGCGATAGGTCACTATTTTGGTTACAGTCATGTTATGCACCGGACGATTATTAACTTATTCTGATCAATTTTTATACTTGCAAATATCTGAAATTATATGATGCTCATTATTTACGAAAGAACTCTACTTTTCAGTTACTATATACGAGCTAACGATTACTATAAACATTACCCAATTGGTTCTCAAGTTTTTCATTATTAACTCCAAATATATATGTTATTTAGCAGCAAAACCCTTTTTCTTGCTCTACCACTTCCAAACCGAAGGGAACCAGCAGGGGCTAATCAATCGTTATCGATTCATTTCAAGAAAAATACCTTATTTTGTTCTAGCTACAGACTACAGAGTATTTAATTGATGTTTTCTGAACAGGAACGGCGTGCAGAACCGCAAAAACTCGTACGAGGACGGAGTACTGGGCACCACATGCCCAATCCCCCCGGGGAGAAACTTCACCTACAAACTTCAAGTCAAGGATCAAATCGGCAGCTTCTTCTACTTCCCCTCAATGTACTTCCAAAAGGCGGCCGGAGGCTTCCGGCCTCCGAGTCCTCAGCCGTCCGAGGATACCCGTCCCCTTCGACGAACCCGCCGGAGATTTCACCGTCCTCGTCGGCGATTGGTACAAGACCAATCACACGGTAACGATCTCAAAACTTTTAATCAGCTTGGATTTAATTAATTTGGTCACGGACGCTAGAGCGTGGGGTCGGTCGTAGTGTCGGTCATGTTATTCTCGTGTCTTGGGTTGGTTAGCGTAGTGTCGGCAAGAATCCAATCGGATCACGGTTGGATGCACGATGGAATTGAGAAAGGAACAATCCAACCTGGCACTTGACTGTTTGTGGTTATGTACGAAAGCTTTTTGCTTAATTTTTTATAAGAGGCGGGGACCCGTGGGTTTGTGGTTTATGAATCCAACACTTTGCCTTTTTGTATCGTTTAATTTTTAGATTGTCTGGTTAAGAATAAGTAGGTGCAATTTGAGGGTGAGCGATGAGAGTATGTTTTTAGCTAATCGTACTCGAGATCTAATTAAAGTTGGATTCCCTCCAAAACAATAAATAAATAGCTTGAATAAATGATCACGAGATGAGGTGGGGGTGGGCTGAGTAAATGCGCCGCTGTTGTCATAAGTTACGCAGTTGATTGCGCTGCATAAATCTCATGGGTTGGCTTTGGCTTTATTCGTCAGCCATGCGTATGCCCACACTCTTATCGAATCGGATGTGAAGTCCTACCTTTGAATTAATTAAAGCTGACAACAGGGGTACATGGGCCATCCTTAACAATTTGGGTCCATTTTTAGACCCTTTCGATAAGATATGATTCCTTTAATTAAAAAAAGAGAGAGAGAAACTGTAAAGCAACGTCCAATTGATGCTCAAAATAATTGAATCATAATTTAATTAGGGTTAATTGCACATAGTCATAGATTTCCTATAGTGCTGCACTTTATGACTTTTTACTTTTATAGTTTCAATTTGGCGTATGGACCTAGTGGACGAATAGACTCGCTGGTTTCACCCGCGGGTAATATTCGCAAAACTTTCACACATGATAGAGATAGCAGTGGGGGAGATTTTCATAAGATCTATGTGCAATTAATCCTTTCATTTAGTTAAAACAGCTCAAAATTTGATTGAATCTTGTCCAATTTTACAGACTAATGAAATGTTGGCCTTTTCTTCTTGATCAGACTCTAAGACAAAGATTGGACGGTGGTCACAAGCTCCCTAACCCCGACGGCATTCTAATCAATGGCCGTAGCAACAACGGTGCTTCCTTCACCTTTGAACAAGGTACTTACTCCACTGATCAAAACAGTAACCATCCAAACTATCCATTAATCATCGCATCATCACACACTAACGATCCTTCAAATTTCGTCCCATAGGCAAAACTTACCGGCTCCGCATTTCCAATGTTGGCCTTCAGAACTCACTCAACTTCAGGATCCAAGACCACAAAATGATACTAGTCGAAGTGGAAGGCACCCACACAATGCAGACCGTGTTCTCCTCCATCGATGTCCACTTGGGCCAATCGGTCTCCGTCCTCGTCAAGGCCGATCAGCCTTCCAAGGATTACTATGTCGTCGCCTCCTCCCGCTTCACCTCTACCGTCCTCACCACCACCGCTGTCCTCCATTACAGCAACTCGCAACAAAGGGTCTCCGGCCCAATCCCTGGTGGGCCTACAACCCAAATCGATTGGTCCCTTAACCAAGCCCGAGCCATGCGGACCAACTTGACTGCTAGTGGGCCGAGGCCTAACCCACAGGGCTCGTACCACTACGGTATGATCAACACGAGCAGGACAATTAGGCTGGGCAGTTCCGCAGGACAAGTTGATGGAAAGCAACGTTATGCGATTAACAGCGTGTCGTTTATTATGGCCGACACCCCGATGAAACTTGCCGACTACTATAAGATTCAAGGGGTTTATAAGCTGGGGAGCATTCCTGATGCCCCGACGGGCCAAAGAATTTACAAGGACACCTCGGTCATGGCTGCGGATTTCCGAGCGTTTGTGGAGATTGTGTTCGAGAACAAGGAGAATATTGTTCAGTCGTATCACATCAATGGCTACTCCTTCTGGGTGGTCGGGTAATTTCTCTCTATAACCATTGAGCTAATTTACTAAAAATCATATTGCATGTTTATGTGTCATCTAGTCATAATTGCAACATTAATGATATATGCATTAAGGTTTATGATATGTCAGATATTTCAATGTGTGATATTTCACAGAGGGCCAACTATAGGATTTTTTCCCCCCAATTCATTATTCTAATTCAATTAGACATGTAGGTTGCTAATGTTCATAATTTGACCAATTGCAGAATGGATGGAGGGGAATGGAGCCCTGCTAGCAGAAATAATTACAACTTGAGGGATGCCGTGAGCCGTTGCACGACCCAAGTAAGTATTCGGGTCTAATCAGATTGGATTTAATTTAATTAGGACGAGAAACTCGAGCTAAAAAATTAACTCTTTTATAGGTGTATCCGAAGTCTTGGACTGCAATCTACATTGCACTTGATAACGTCGGAATGTGGAACGTAAGATCAGAGTTCTGGGCTCGTGAGTATCTTGGACAGCAGTTCTATTTACGGGTTTACTCGCCGGTGGAATCATTGAGGGACGAGTACCTAATCCCGATCAATGCACTTCGTTGTGGTCGGGCTTCTGGTCGCATGACTCGCCCTTAGTTTTTCTAAGTGGAGGAAGATGGTTTGCTTGTTTAATTTTTATTGCGAATTTGTTTGAATTTGAAGGATTCTTTGGTTACCAACTCGGTAAGGGTTAATATTTAGGGATAGAGAAGGGATAGAGTGACCTGACTCGGGTCACATTCTTTTATGGAGGGAAGCCAACTTATCAAATGTATTTTGTGATGTGTACCATTATTATATATTCTATCAATTCGAACAATAAGATATATTTCCATTGAATTTGTTTGAATGGAGTGTACATTCAATCTAGTGTTCAAAGCATAATGGTTGCTCCAAAGGATCTGTTGCGCGTTGGCGGAAGCGTGCTCGCAAACCAAACACCCACACGAGTTGGCGAACAAGAGAGAAGAACAACCAACGAGTGCAATTCACAAACGAATGACACAAACCAATCACAAACATATATATTTACGTGGTTTGGTAAATTGTCTACGTCCACGAGGAGAGGATGATGAGTTTTCACTATATGAAGGAGAAAACAATGGTTTACAATCACTCAAACTATCAAAAAATAACCCTAACTAAAAAATCTCACTCCCTCACAATAATCTCCCTCTCAAAGTGTTCAAAAAACATATTTTTCTCTCAACAAATCTCTTCTAAAACATTCTATATATATAGAAACCCTAAAACCAAAACAGGATATGAATCCAACAATTCTAAAACCAAAACCAAAACAGACTAGGAATCCCAATAATTCTAAAACCAAAACCAAAACAAACTAGAAATCCTGGTTGGCCCAATAACCTGCTACCCAACAGGATCTGGTACTGCGTATTGTTTGGTTCAGAAATTGCTTTCATTGACGAATTCATTACAACTTTGGGCGTTATAATAAATTCAAAAGAAATAGTCTTTTTATAAGACTCTTACACAATCAAAATTTAAAAGTTACAATAATCTCCTCAAACAAACACAACGGACGTTTATCTCCCGCTGCTTGCGTGGGATCTTGGCCTGTGACGGGGACGTTGATATCCGTGGACTACCAAACGATCAGATCGATCCGGAGCTTCGTTGATTCGTAAAGGAATCAAGAAACCGAAACAATTATCTCGGCAACAGCGAGATAACCACTCTTCTCAAGATCACCGTAACAGGGTAATCTCAAGGAAAAGAACCGGGTACTGTAGATCTGACAAACTCTTCTTCTTTATGCTGAAGAACTCGATCCGATCTCCTCCTCTCTCCTGAAATTCGTACTCTTTCAGTCTTCAATTCAGCAGGGCTTCACCGACGCTCGAGAATTTGAGATCTGTGCAAATAAATGCCCTAGGACTGTATTTATAGGCTTTGGGACCTCCATTTTTGGATAAGAACGGCCGATTTACTCTTATCTTCAGTTATAACCACTTTATCACATTCTTGGATAACATTGGATCAGTTGGAACAAATTCAGACGGTTAACGATCGAAAAACAGCTCAAAAACAGCTTTTTGGGGTCTGGGACACTTGCGGTGTCTCGGCCACGGT